TTAGTAAACACTACCGAATAAATCTGGAAAATAAATGCTAAAGCTTGGAGAATAACAAAGCAGGCTATATCGTAGAATTTGTACATTTATTGCTACCTAAGAAATAAACGAAATAGGTTTGAAACTGGAGTTTGATGATGACGTCGGTTGTATCCGTTATCAACCAATACTTTGATGAAAATGCTAGGTTAACTAACAAATATGCTCATATATGATTGCTGACAATGCTTATGCCAATTGATAAATGATAGTGCTTACGATTTTGTATATATGTATAATGTTATTCTGAAATGTCTCTTTTTTAGACCATTGGGTCTCTGAACTTCCTGACTCCCCAATATCTTTTTTTTGTTGATATTGAATTGTCTTTGTACTTGATATGGCATTTATGCATGTAGATGCAAGTGTTAATGTGTAGTATGTAATGATTTGAATGATGTATGTAATGAGTGATTTGGACACGCATCAATGGACGTTAGAATTTTGAAATGCCAATGAATGACTACGTTGGCGGGGTAAACGCCAAGTAATATTGAGATTTTTGTCTATCAGATCCATGCTATCGAAATTCGTCAGATGGATGAAATGATAGGAATAATTCGATTCTATATTGAAGCGAACTAGTGAATGTATTATGCAGACTCATATGATTTTGATGGATGCCCTTGTGATGGGTCGTAGGTGTTATGCTAATATGATTTCCTGATACTTGTTTTGAATTTGAAGATTGCTGATGTAGGAGAAGGATCCATTGGGGGATCACGAAAGTACGCAGAGAGCTTTCCCCTTTATGGAGGGTCTTTCCCCAATATGTCAGGTCTGGGAAGAGATTCTCCTTGATATGAGCTTGGAAATAGTTTGATCATAGTATGAATGACCCCACTATTTTGCATTTTGAAGCATTATGCCCTTGACTAATGGGCTCTTGGATGGTTTGCCCTTTATGGGTTATTTTTTGAACCAATTTCTTTTGAATGAGCCTTGTAGCAGTATGCCCCAACATTTTCACTTCTTGAAAGGTATGCCCCTAATCTCCAAAATTTAGAGGAGGTACTCTTGGATGATTTTCCCTTGAAGATCTGTTTTTTGAATCAACTGCTTTTGATCGAGCCTCACAATGGCTTGCCCCAACGTTCAAATTTTGAGAGGAATGCCCATATCTTTAGGATTTTGGAGGAGTGTCCTAAGAAGGAAATTGGATCCTACCATTCTATAATATAGGTTTTGGTATAGGTTACCCCAAGCGTCTGAATCTTGAAAAGTAGGCCCTTTATCAGCTGATGTTTTGAGAAGTGTTCTAAGTTGACCCAATCTTAGAATAATTTCCCCTATTTAACATGGTTCTCAGATGATGTGCCCCTATGATCATTAGGAACTTCCCCCTGTTTATAGGGGTCCTCTTAGATGCTTTTCCCCTAGTTAAAAGCTTCTTGGAAATGCTGCCTTTGATCATACCATTTTTCAAATCTCCTTGATGCTAAGTTTTGACTCGTAAGTAAAACTGTCCCCTTTGAAAAGTAATCCTAATGTGATGCACATGCAAGTTCTTGAAGTTAAAATTGATTATTGAAAAGAAATGGATGATTATAGATGAAGAAGTGGCAACGTGGTTTAGTGATAATTTAACAAACATTAAAAGTCAGTTTAACACAAATCTTGTTGAGTATGCTTTCATGGTGAACCTAGCATCAATTAGAACTTTTGAAGGTTATAACATGGCTTGATGAAACAACCGGCGGAACAATCAAATGATAATGAAAACAATGAAGTCTCCATAGAATGTTTTTATCCCACAAGAAGGGAAAGGTAAACATCGAGTAAACCTGAGAAGGGTGAAATCACGATCAAACGACTGAGAGATATGGGTAAGGGAGTCTGTTACGCGAGGGGAAGGTATTTTCACCCCACACGCCCGTAGTACTCTACGGTATCCACTCTTGTTATCTATCTCAATCTTCGATTGTCGTCTCCTACTCATTAATTCTCCTCACCATCAATCACGATTCGTCGTGCCACAATCATCGCCCCTATTTGCTTCAGTCTTCCTGCATCGCGGCTTCAACCTTTGCCTCAATCATTCATAGCACCGCCGGAGAACTAACACATTTGTTATTTTCTCTTATCCATTCACGAATTCAGTTCTTATTATTGTTTCATACAATTCTCAATTTCGATCTTGTTTTCCCATAGAAAATAGAAAGGATGAAGAAATTGAAGTGTAAAAAACGCAAAGCTTACCTACCGGTGTTCGTCTGGTGCGTCTATAATCGATGAAGATGATGCGAAAACTAGAGATTCTTGCGCATTCAGGTACAAAATCCCTTAACGCTTTACACGAATTCTTCTTCTACTTCTAGATCTTCTCATTCTTCTGCGTTTTTGAGTTCTGTTATTGTTGCTACAAGTTCTGTTGCACGATGAATGATACTTAAATGATATTGTTGTTGTTCGCATATGGCGCTTGAGGTGTGATGAGGTTGAGAGAGTTTCAGAGAGTGGAAGAAGAAGAGAGGTTGAAGGTGGTTGTGGAGAGGTTGAAGGTGAATGATGAAGGTGGAAAATGGTGGAGAAGAGAGAGTTTCTGATCTTCTGTGATTTTTTGCAGAAGTAAAGAATGAAGATTACAGAGAGATTTCCTCATGATCCTTCCACAGGGTGAAGGATGAATGTGATAAAGGTGAGTTTTCTGTATTTTTTCTCTGTATGAATCTATTATGGTTTGTGAATAATCAACCCCCTCCTCCGTTACCACTTTTGTTATATCCTTTTTGTAGTTCTTCCTGAATTCTGTTTTGTTGTAGTTAGTATGGTTAGAAGTTTGGTTAGAGTTAGTTAGGGGTGAGGGTTAGTTAAAGAGTGAAAGTTGGTTAGCTGCTGTTGGGAATTCTATTTAGGTTGGTTATGAGGTTTGTTACAAAAATTCTGTTACTTAGAAATTGTGGAGTTTGTTAGAAATTTTGTTTCTCAAGTTAAGAGAGCTGAGAAATTATGTTACATATGTTGGAATTTCTAAATTCACTTTCTGATTCTTTTTGCTGCAGTATCTGCTTTCTTTGTTGGAGTACTAAGATATTTCTGATTCAAACATCAAAGCACCCCCCTGCTCAGTAAAATGCTCCTAATTCTGCAAGTTGTCAAGATAATCCAGGGTATTTAATTTCTCAACCCGAACTTTACTTATGTCTAGTACTGATAGATATGTACGATAAGCAAAGGTGAATGAAACTGGCTTTCCATCACTGTTTGTGGAACAAACTTGGTACTTCACTTCTTGGAATGAAAATGCCAACATTAAGAAAGGAAGGTATTCTTTGTTCCCTTGAATGAATTGTGTCATCCATGAAATTATCATTCTACAACATTGTTCCTTATCACTGATCACAATCTCACACTAATCCAATATTTTTTCTTTTGAAAATCCTGCTCGGTTGTAGTATTAAACTGGTATATGCCGCTTTATGTGCAGGGTAGCTTTTGTTGAGACAGGGCAGCAATTTTCTTTATTGTGTATGTTTGTACATTTTGGATATTAATCAATTTTTTTGTAGAGTTGGATGCAGATTTTTGGTTTTATATTTGAACATGATGCAGATGGAAATTATGCAGGGATGAAGTATTGATGAATGCAACATAGTCTCTTTTCTTCTGATATTTACTGACTGAATTTCTGATATTCTTTACTATTTTGATTGTGAATCCAATTTCATCTTGTTTAAAGCATTTCCTGATATTCTAATATACTTCATTTTTATTTTCTGATTTATGTTGAAGCTAAACAAGAAGCTATGAGGGTTTTAGGCAAGGGCTGGATTTCTGAGTTGGAACTGAACTACTGGTATGCAATTGGTTTATATTATTGGAATGATGTCGTTTTGATACAGCTTCTGAGTTAATTTTCTATTTCTGGAGCAGGGAAGCATGATCACGGTTTTAAGATAAGCTAATGAGGTCATGATATGATGAACTGGTTTATGAAGCGGATATTTCTCTCTTTAAGAATCGGTTGTAGAAAAATGGTGAAGGTGTGCAGTTTTTGAGATGAATCTGCAGAGAGATTTTTAGAAGTTCGTTCAACATTTTCTGTGGATTTGGTCATTTTTATAGTACTTTCTATCTGTCCTCTGTGAGTTTTCTCTGTCAGTTGTGAACAATAATCGAGATTGGATCCCCTTTTTTTCTCTCTGATTTCCTGTTATGACTGTTTAGAAGTAATTATGGATTTTGTCTTTTCTATTGACAGACTTGGTTATAAATGCAGAGGGACAAATTTTTGTGTGAAATGATCTTGAAACATTACTCTGACTTTTTGTCTTAGTTTGAAAACATTTCTCGTGAATTTATTAATGCAGGCTGCAGGTTTGGATAATTGATGCAGGGCTGTAAGCACTCATGAGTTGGTTCTAGATATGATGCTAATTGGGCAAGTGAATTTGTACTCATAACTAAAACCCTTGCTAGGATGGAAGCAAAACATGCTTTAACAGATGATTTAGAAGGGTTCTGGTCATCTCCGCCACTCAAACATGAGACAATTAATTTTTGTAATGTATTGCTAATAAGTGGCAGAAATTCCGTGGGGAAACACTGAATTAAGATGTCAACTAGTGGAAGAATAGAAAGTAAACCTTTGTCATTGACATTCCCAACAACTGGATCAATAATTTTAGCAATATTTGTTGCATGCATGCTTAAAAGTCATTTCCACCCAAAATTATGTAATCTTCAATTCTGGTCACTGCAACCTGCAAATGATCAAAATCCCTTTCCACAACACAAGGTGTGAAAGTATGATAAACCATAATAGCATTGTTGGGGCTTGGGAAAGTGTAGCCTCCCATAACATCATGCTATCTTCAAGAAGGTTGAATTCATCTGGACTATTAATATCAATTTCATTCTCTAGAAGTGGCAACATAATATTATGGCAAATGGGTGATTGATAACCAAGTGCAATCACAAAGTTTATTAAAGCAACCAGAAGCTAAATTTGCATCAAACTTTCACCTTCTACCAGTTGATCCAGCTCCTGGATTACCTTTAACCTCAGAGTCCTATGGCAAATGCAAATAAATGCAGATCTTTGCGTTAGCTGGGTTGTGATTTTCTGCACCTTTGCTCCAATCATAACAAACCGCATACGAATATATGGAACTGTGATACGGTGGGAGAACTGACATGAGGTTTTGCGTTTGTGTTCGCAAATGTTTTGGTTTAGCAAGAGTCGCCACCGACTTTTTATTTTATCCTAAGGAAAGGTCAAAAAGCACAAGAAAAACCTTTGAGATGTGTTCTTGGGTTCGGGGAGTAGATTATGAAAAGGGAAGGTGCAAGCACCCATTTCATCCATGGTTATCCATGGGCTCTTAGTTACTTGTTTAGATCACTTTCTTTTGCTTTTCAATTGTTTGAAATGGTGCTTTGTGTGTGGTTTTGAAAGATGTTTTGAAAAGAGGCCATCGTTGTGGCAACCTTAGTAATGATTCTTGTTTGAATGTATACAAAGGTGTATATCTTTTGAGAATTTGATTTGGAAAATGTTTTGAAATTGTGTTGTGAGATGTGTTTGAAAATAGCAAGGATGTTTTGCAAGCTTTGATCAAGTAACTAAGAGTTATCTACCCTATTTTACTCAAAGATCTTTCCTATATGTTTTTAACCCTTTTGACAGTGTTGTTTTACCATTGCATTTGGTAAACAACCTTGTATTAGGATGTTAAACGGGACAGGCACGGGTCATCGTATAGACCATGATAGCAATTGTGTTAAGTATTTTTGGCAAATTTTCCGAGGGACTAGATCATTTTGTATAGGCAACCAAGATAGCGTCATCGAGGGACTATGATCTTTTGTTTTTGTTTTTGTTTTGCCAAAGTACTCAACATGCATAACATGGCCCATTTTTAGGGCAACAAGTGGATGTAACCCTAGGGATGCAAGTGTGCATTGTGTTTGTCATTTTCATGCATTTTTGTCTTTGTATTAGTCAAGCTATTTGTTTAATTTTTTGGATTATTAGCATACAAACCCTAATCTCTAATCATGGCATAATTGAAAGCGTAAATGCGTAAAATAAATCTACACTATTACAACATTGATATAGGGAGGGGGATACAATTTTGAATGGGGATATATTTTACAAGAAATTAAAACCCTAGTTTTACTATTACATCTAAATTGAATCAAATGGCCTAAATAATAAATGGATAATATTTAAATAAACAAATTAAATAAATATACAAAATATATGAATATGCAAAAAGTTTATGTTTATTTTCCATGTATGTAAAAATATTTAATGCAAAAAAGAAAAGAAATAAATAAAAAGAAAATATTATTTTTTAATAAGGGTAAACCCTAATTTTTCTTTAAGAAAATAAATGTATTAATTATATTATTTATATACAATAAATAAAATAATGAATATACAAAAAATTAAATATATTTAGAAAAATGTATTATTTTAAGTATACGTAATAATAATAAAAAGTATAGTATTTTTTTTATGTTTTCATTTTCAAGTATTTATAAAATAAAAGTATGTATATATTATTAATTATATTAATTATGTACAAAAAATAAAAATAAAATATATACAAGATAAAAATATATTTAGGATAATATTTTTAAGTGTAAATAAAAGAATAAAAATAAAAGGTATACTTATATTATTTTCAAACATTCAATAAATAGAAATATATATACTAATTAAATTGTTTTTTATGTTAGAAAAAATAGAAATAAAATGCAAAATAAATGTAAAAAATTATAAAATATTTTTTTGGGTATTTTTTATGTTTGGAAATAATAAAATAAAATCAGAAATGAAAATAAAAATAACAAAACATAAAAATATGAAGAAATGGGCCAGGGGGTGTATTCAGCAAAAGGGGGGTGCAAATAGTGAGAGGACCAAAGCCCAGCCCAAGCCACTTCATCTTCAACCTCTGACTTCAAATTTCGCGCGCGCTCTGTACAATTGCTAGATCCTGCATACGAGCTCTATTGCAAAAACACATAACATCAAAGTTGTAGAGCTTTTCAAGACGAATCCAACCATATAGACAACTTGTCCTAACTCTCAAAGACCAGAGAGAATTTCTCTGGCCCTAAAATCTAACCTAATTTTTTCAGGATGTTCATGGACCAAATTCTCTTAGCACGCTTAATAAAAATGAAAACTGAGCATATGTACAGCTTCATGACAATGGATACTACATTTCTTATTCACAAACATAAGTCTAAATGTTCCTAAATAGAGAGATAGGAAGTTGATAAAAACCTATTTCAGCTGACTTCGTGTATGGCAATGTGGAGCTTTTCAACAAGGCCTGAGATGTCTGGGAGCTTGCTTGAACTTTACTTCACCTTCTTCAATGTCTAGCTCGCCTTGAATGCTCTTGAACAAGCCTACATAACTCAACCTTCACAAGCTCAAAATGAAAATGGAAAACCATGTAAATGGAGTTACAGTTGGTGTTTAAGGTTTGGGATAGCTTGGATATGTTGTGTGGAATGTGTTTGAACCAATTTGAGACAAAACGCACGAGGGATTTGAGTTGTGGCAATCCAACTGCAGGGAGTGCTCTGTTTTGCCAATGGAAGGTGATTTCTTGCTATGGGTGGTTTGAGGGCTCAAACGATCGTGTTTTTGGCTCAAGGGGATGTGATAAGGATGTTTCAAAAGCTTGCAGCAGTTGGTTTTTGCCGAGGTTCCAGTTTTTGTGTTTTGGACAAATTTCTTGGTTATGAAGCAAAGTGTGTGAAGTGATGTGAAACAGGTTTGTACAGGCTATCCATATGCTTGCACCTTCTTCTCTTGACCCCTCTAATTTGTGGATTTTATTTACTGCATAAGATCTTGCTCAATGCTCAAAGATTGTGGTTTGACATAAAGCAAGATTGTGGCAAAAATGGTAATGTACCTTTTTCTACTTAAGGATTAATCTAATGTGCAATGTTCTAATGACCAAAACAATTCCTTAGACCAATGGTTTTGCAATTAATTATTGAGTGTGGAATGGTTTTGAGGCCTGTAATCTAGTGCAAAGCAAGCTGATTTGAATTTGCAACTTGTATGAACATGAACATGCCATGGATGAAAAGTGAGTTTTTGCCAACTTCAAGCCTTCGATTCTCCCTAACCACAAATGAGTTTGGAGAGTTCTTGGACATTTTGGAAATCTTGCAACATGATCTACAATTTATCTTTGAAATGCAATTTGAGATTCCAAGTGGAACTATGTGAAAAATAACCATGAAGATAGGTCAAAATCTTGCCTAAACTAGGGCAAAATTTCACTAAGTTAAAAGTTTTAGGGGCCCTTGTTCCAAAAATCATAACTTGAGATCCAAGCTTCTTTTGGGAAAACTATGTGAATCAAATTTGTATACTTTGTGGAGGACTAAAACTTTGATTTTGGAAGTTTTGTTTGAATCCAATTGCATAATTGTTAAAATGTTGGGCAAAGTTAGGAAAAATTAAGAAAATTTCATAACTTAGAAAAATTCTAAGTTATGAAAATTTTCAACTTTAAACCCTAATTTGCAAAAATGGGTTTCTTGATGAACAAGTTTCACGTTTTGACACATCTTGATGAAAAATTACCCTTGACACTTGATTTTGACCAAAAAGTCAAAGTTTGACTTTTCAGTGTACAGTCAAATTTTGATCAGTTGACTGAAAAATTCATCTGTCAATCCAATGCACTTGAGATCTTTTGAACCTTGTGAATAGGTTAAGATGATTCCATTGAGTCCTTGAGTCCATGGTTGAACCCAATTTGCCATTGGCTAGGTCAAAAGTCAGAAATTGCCCTTGTATGGTCAAAACCCTAAAAATGACCATTTTGCCCTTTTGATGATCTGATCAAATTTCTTGAGGAGTTGTGGTACAAACTTGACCAAATGGTTCATATGGGTTTATAATATTTATGTGGGTAAAAAATTATGAGGTTTGACTTTAAATTGGCCACAATTGACTTTTTCCCAAATACAGTTGATTTCTAGGTCAACTGTCCAATTGACTGGGCAAAAATTTGATTCAAGGCTTGAAACTTGGTATGGACAAACTTATGAGTCCAACATGAAGTATGAAAGTCATTTTGGGAATTAGAAGTCCAAAAATCTTTGTGCAAACTCAAACCCTAATTTAGGTCACCAGTGCAAGGAGATGTCTTGAGCAGAGCAAAACCCTAATCCTGTCTGGAGTTCAAGGAGCCTTGTGAGGGGAAATCTTGATAAAATGAGAGGGAAAATTTTGGGGTACAATAGGAACCATCATTGTTGAACTCACCACAAGTTATGGGCTAACCACACCTTTGCATAGCCTTAAGTCTCTATTTACTGTCTTGTCCCAAAAATTAAATGCACCGTCAGATCCAGCAGTTGCAAAAGTGTGATGTACATGATGGAACCTAAGAGAGTTGACAAAATATATGTCACTACTTTCTCTGTGGAATTTAATAGTAAATTCTTGCTCGACCGTGCATCATCAAGGTGATGTACTCCAACCCTTTCTTCTATTGAACCAGCCAAGAAACCTTGTTGGTCTGAAAAAGCAGCAACACATCTTATCTGATACTTCAAGGGAGATATTAATCTTTCGTACTCCATTTGAGGATTCTGCAAGTTGAAGACAATAAGATTCCTATCTTCAATTCCCACAACCATCAAAGGATGCCTCACGGACATTGTATAACAAAGATAGGGGAGTTTCTTAGCATGCACTAGATTATACTACCTAGTATCTCAATACTTAATGGTTTTGTCCCAGCTTCTGGTGGACAAGAGACCCATCACGGGTATCCAAGTAACCTCTTTGATGGGAGCATCATGCACGACAACCGTCACTGACTGCCCTCCGGAAAAAAGTGGCCATATCTTGCCCTGCTTATGATAACTCCAGAAAAAAATGATTGTTCCATCATCTTTCCAAGAAGAGCACAAAACACGTTGATCGTGGTAAATTGAAGCCTTGGGAGTAGTGTTAAGAGCGATTCTATTCTTTGAAATCTCCCAACAACGAACCTGGTTGTAATAGAATTTTGTGTGTTGTAATGATAAGTGAAGTAACTTTTGAATTCACATGGATGTAATGATCTTTTCCAAATAAATCTTCTATTTTTCCTCCATTATGCCTTATTTGAACTTTCCAACTTGGCAAACTTGAACCAAAAAGAACACCTAAATGGTTTATTGGTGTAAGGGTTTGAATGAATTTGTAGAGAGTTTGAAGTGAAGATCATGAATCATGGTTGAGAAGGCTTGAATACTTGGACATGGAATTTGAATTAGTTTAGGGATTAGAATAGATTCTGGTGACTTTTTGATTGTAAGATTGTAATTGAATCTTGGAATCAAAATTGAACTTGGATGCCTTATGACATTTGAATTCAGAATGGAACAAATGGTAAGCTTTAAATTCTGATTGATCCAAGTATGTGAATATTTCAACCTTGCACCCTTGATTTGGAAATGATACTCGAATTTGAAGTGAATGCATAATGAGAATGAAGTTGAATTATGACTTAAATTCCAAGAAATTTCATGTATAATCCTTTCAATTTTAACTTGAATCCTATACAGATATAATGCTCGAAACCTATGCTCTCGGATAATTTAAACTCAGGGCATCAAGTAATCAATCCAAATCAATCAATTCCAATTACTCCCAACTGAGATTCTCAAATCCATATTAAACATGTATTATAAGAAACAAGCAAAATGAGAGAATTAATAAGGCCTCGACCACACTGGATCCACACGTTCAACATCTTGTACCATGGGTCAATGTTTTGAAATTCAAACCACAACCCCCATAGTTTGATGACCAATGATCTTAGCACAAAATGAATGCCTTGAGAGATATCTGAAGATGATAAGACTTAAAGCGGTAGAAGTGATAATAATCACAAAGCCCTAATCAATCTTCCCTTGATGAAGAAAGAATCCATAATAACCATGAACCAAAACCCTAATTCTATAATCCAATGCTTGAAGGAGAATCATATGAAATCATATTTATTGGATATATACATCTCAGCACTGTGAAAACCCTGATTTGGATGATCACTGATTTTATTAAACCTAGGTGCTTTATTAAATGCAATGTTATGCTATGCAAATGAACTAATGCAAAGATACAAATGTGATGCTAAGCGTAAGCTAGATAAAAGAAATAATGAGGGAAAATTTTGGGGTGCAACAACTACCCCTATTTAATCGTCTTAAACCTGAAGGTGAAATTGGCGCTAGCTTTTTGAACCTTCAAGGTGGAAGAAGATTAAATACTTAATGAACCCGAAAATTTGCACTCCAAAGCCAGTCAGGTATTAATATATTTTTTGGTTTTCTGTATTTTCTATTTTTGCTTTTTGGATTGCAATAGTTAGCTAAGTAAACTTCTTAGATATCATGTCAAGGTTAGACATTTTTGTACCCCAAAATTGTCCCTCCCATATTTCTCAATATATTGCAAGAAAGATCTCCAAGTTACTCAAGTTTGCTCAAGAGTTGGACAGACAAGCTATCTCCTAAGGCAGTCAATCCCAAATTAGGGTTTTGTGTTGCATCAAGATCTTTGAATCCAAATGACCTAAAGTGATAACCAATTCCCTAATATGTTCTCAAGATCCTCCATGTCAAATTTCAAGCCTTGCAGAGGAAGTTTGCTCAGTCAATTGCTCAAAGGTCCAAAAATCGACTATGTTAGGGCAAAAGTCAACTGTGACCTACATACAGTCAAACTTCAATATTTTTTTCCAACATTCCCATTTTGAAGGATATTTCATCATTTGATCAAGGGTTGATCATGATTCATCAAGGATTGCTCAAAATTCATCAAGATTCAAAAGTTGCTAAATTAGGGTTTTGTAGGAAAAGTCAACTCAAATTTGACCAAGCATAAATTTATCATACTTTATGAGAAATTACCCATCCAAAGATCATTTTTAAGAGTATGAAATTTCCTACAATCCATCTTCATACCCTAAGATCAAAAAATGCACTCACAAGAAGTTATAAATTTGGACATTATAGGTCATTTTTGAAAGTCAACAAAAATACCTTTTTCCAAAGCTTATAACTTGAGCATGGAATATCAAAATTGGATCATACCAAAATGGTTGGTTATAGGACATCTCAAGCATTCTAAAAAGTCACAGAACACTTCCAAAAGTTCAAAATTGAAGAAGTTATGCATTGTTGAAGTTGGAGTTTTTTGCAAAATTGCCAAAAGTCAACTATCCCCAAAACATCAAATTTTGTCAAATGGGCCCATTCTTTTCCACTTGATTTGAGCTTGCATAGTTTCCCACGTGTCCTAGCTTCAGCCATAAGCTCATATTTCATTTTTATTATTTAATTTGATTTTTTTATTGAATTTATTCATTTTAAATCATAGAAAATCCAAATAATTAATAACTCTTGATTTTTTGATTGTTTTAGGCTTTGTTCACAACTAACATCACCATCAAATTCGTATCAAGCCAAATCATGGGCAAAAAGATTGAATGGAATCAAATTTGGAAAGGTTTAAAGTGGAGATCAAATCAAATTCATATGCATTGATATGGGAAGATTTAGTCCATATTTGTTACCCTAATACACTACACAATACATAAGCAAGCCAAAGGATACGAAATCAGGGTTAGCAAGTGCAGAGAGAGGCAGAACAAAAGTTGGAAAATTCACAAAAATGTGAGAAGTTGAAATCCAAGTTAGAGGCATTTTCAAAGGCCAAGACTCGTCTCAATCGCTTCCTGAGCATTCACTCAAGCTACCTGGATCCAAAGCAAGCTTTTTCAGACGTCCAAACGCACTGTAAGTGTCACGAAACCCAACTCTGTTCTTGAAATCTAAACTCACCATTCTTGCATCCATTGAATGAAATAACTGCATATTTGTAATCCTCACATCATTTGTAAACTTTTGGCATCATTTGATTTTGTTTATCTAACCTGTAATGCAAGACACCATAGCTAGGGTTTCTTGGACGTTTTTGGGGGTTTTCTTTTCAGGTGAAATTAAGCTACAAGATGGACATGGTTGTGTTTAGGTGGTTGAGACGAACTCAACCCTAGTCTTAGATTCTATTTTCAAGGCCTGAGGAGGATTTTTGAATGATGTTGCACTTTTAGCTGCGGACAAAAATCTGCAGGTAATATTTGCAGGTTTTGGAGGTAGGAGACGATGAGTCGTCGTTCTCTCATAGGTCTATTCAAAAATAGTGCGCTTTTTTTTGTTTTGCTGGCATGTGATTTGTTTTTATTATATTATGTTTTCTTTGCTTGTTATTAACAAACAGACCAACATAGCATAGTGGCAAGGCAAGCGTGCATTATCCTTCAGGACTTGGGTTCGAATCCCAGGTCCCCCACTTTCCTAATATTTTTTCTTTTCAGGTACTCCTATGCGCGCATAAACTTGCAGAACACCATGCATCCTCGTCCATGCAATAGCCAGATGGCCAGAGGCCAGATCTGGTGGTCCAGGAGTGGATGTCCACCATAGTCCAAGTCCACGCGTGCCTACTGAATTCCAGAAAGTCAAAGAAGGCCAGCACAATTGGGCTTCAGAATTGCTACTCACACCACCTATTCAGGCCCAATACTCCTCTCTTCTATTCACTTATTTTATTTTATTTCAATTGTTTTATTATTTTTATTTAAATTCTAACCAATCAAAATTCCTCGTTTATTAAATAAAATCACCAAAAATATTTTTATTCAATCAAATTTTAACTTTTATTTTATTAATAAATACTAATTAATTAACTTAGGTTTTAATTCTAAAATAATTTTAACCTATTTTGCAAATAATTAAAATTAATTAGATTTAATTAGGTTTCAATTACTAATTCGATTAATTTTATTTTCTTTCTTAAAAATAATCAAAACTCAAAAAAATAATAATTTATTTTTCATTTAATTAATTTGTTAATTTAATTTAGTAATTAATTTAGGTTTAATTTCTTTCTTAAAATTAAAAACAACAAAAAGATATTTTCTTTAATCAAAAGGGTCAAAACCCTAATCATGCGCTCAATTTAATTTCCCGCACGCGTTACTTATTTTTGTCCAATAATGTACTTGTTCCCGGATTGTAATAGTAAATAGGACTTTTAATTATTTTTATTGCTTTATTTTTATTTTTCAAAGGGTTTGTCTTTGGCGATGTAAATACCCGACGCCTTGTAATTTAATTTCCGCATTTTATTTCCGCAAAATTATAAATGCTAGATGTTTGATAATAGGGTTTGCATGACAAGAATGAATGCTTAATCTTAAAATCAAATTATATCACCCTTAACATGTACAAAGATAAAAATAACCGAAAATGACACACTCGCACATGCGCACTCTTAGGGTACACCCCACTTGGTTGCCTTCGTACGCGGTCATTGAGTATATGTTGTTTTAGAGGCCGCCCTCTTGTCTAAAACATCATAGTCTCCTCGAAACGGTTGCCTCAGATATTGTTGCCTCAAACAATGATATAAGACATTAGGGTTACCGCTAAGGCGTCCTAAAATTGCTTTGGTGACTGTAAGTCCCTAATTCGAATTGACCCTCAAACTCCAACGACGATGCTACCTACTCATTAATAGTGGGATAGAATTGTATAAAGGAAAATAGCATAGAACGATTCCTTTTTCGAGTAGGTAGATGGTTCTTAGATACTTGCTCTTTCAA